TTACAAATATACAAATTACTTATTATCCCATTGTTTAATCTTACTCCTTAAATTGTCCAAAGTGTGTGACCCGTATAGGCACTTATAAAGCTGGCCATAGTATTGGCTCTGCACCAATACTATAAGCAATAAGCGGTATCTAGCAACACATTATTGCCCCCCCAGATTATAAGTTAAGACGTTTGCACCGTCAAAACCTTTCCACGACTCAGACTCCGTGTAACTGTATCCCTTTGTCTCAATGTCTAAACTTAATGCAAGGGATTAATAAAATCCAACTTGTATCCATTAAGTCATTCACTACTTTATCAAGCTTGACTAATAGGAACAGACGTCATAAAAGCATCTCAGCATGGCCATGCAATTTCTTTAGTCATAACTTATCAGTGGGCCCCATAAGACATTAATCTCTTTAAAAAGAGTAGTGACAAATCCTATGTACGTAATCTACGTTTCTGAATACGCGCTGCGGCATACCCAAAACAAAGCCTGTATACCATCCTTATTTCATATGGCTTAGGACAATGCATCAAAGCATGCGGGTTCACATTTGCAGAAAACGTAATACTTCAAGTCGAAGGATAGTTACACCCGTGGTCGCGCTAAAGATGCTTAGAGCATGAATTAAAAGTTCAAGCAACATCTTTAGGATGGGTCAGTCCGGCATCCTATTATCTCTCGATAATATCTGCCCATGTGCGGATGCGAACACACCGTCATTGACTATGAGACTAAGTCAAACATCCAACACACACTAGTCTCACATGCATTAACGATATCCCACTCTCGTTAATACTCGACTATGGACATTTAGATAAATATTTATTTCAAGATGTTAGTCTCATCAGCAGAAGAACATTATCTGATAAACATCTTTTAAATATAAATCTAGGAATATAATATTTGTTTACATTAGCATGAGATGTGTAAACATATTATATCTGCCTATACATGATAGAATAACGATAAACAGTTGGCCATCAGGGCACAACTCCAACACGTTCCCACTCCCGAACATCGACCAGCTGGTAGACGAAACCGCGGGCTGCGAGCTCATGAGTTTCATGGACGCCTTCAGCGGGTACCATCAAATCCGGATGCACCGTGAGGACGAAGAGAAGACGTCTTTCACTACCCCCGGCGGAGTGTATTGCTTCAAGGTGATGCCTTTTGGACTCAAGAACGCCGGGGCGACCTACGCTAGGATGGTGTGTAACGCCCCAAAATATACCCTAAAATTTATTGAATTAAATATTCAATTAAACAAAATTTGTTTTGATTAAAATAAATTGTTGTTGGGCTTTGGGCTGAAATAAAATATATATTGATATCCAATAAACATAATTGGGATAAATCTCATAGAGATAAATCCAATATGTTGATTTATTGTGTGATATTGATTGGGAACCTGAGTACAGACCCAAATTAAGAATAAATGAAGAAATTGTTTATAATGTGAACTTTGAAATGATTTATTGAAATAAATCATGGAAATAAATAATATGAATTAAATGTGAGAACCTTTTTGAATAAAGGTCAATTAAACCAATTTTGACTCTGTCAAAGTCAACCACCCAAAAATATGATGTCGGAAAAAGTATAACGAATAAATATAAAAATTATATCGTTAGATAGAGTTTAACTGTCTGATCGCAACGGTGCAATCGGATTTCAATTCGGAGAAAGTTGGACCAAAAAGTGTTCCCCGACTGGGACCAAATTAGTCCCAATCAGGGACTTGCGTTTGGAAT